CTTCCAAATGTGGGGTGTTTCTGGCCCCCTTTGCAAGTTCTTAAACAGCCTCTATGTGCTGGGGCCTTGAACCCTCAACCAAAGGCTTGGCCTGGTGCCAACACTGATAATTTCATCTGGGGAAGGTCTAATGGCCTCTTTGAAGTGGGAGTAGTTTTATTTTCCTTATTATTTAAGCAAGCAAGCATTTACAGAAGCCAAATAGCAGGGTTAAAATTTCAAACAGCAATTTTTATATAAGATGGATGCTTCACTATCACTTCTGATAGCAGTTCACAAATGTTAACTTATTTAACTTAAAAAAGAAAGAAAGAAAGAAAGAAAGAAAGAAAGAAAGAAAGAAAGAAAGAAAGAAAGAAAGAAAGAAAGAAAACACCAGAAACTAGTAAGAATAGGTAGCATTACTCACCCCACCTTCAGATGAGGAAACTGAACCCAATCCTGGGACACAACCAGATTCCCAAACTTGGAGAACCAGCTCTCTGAAATTGCCACCCAAAGGGAACGATTGAATGCCTCTGGATCCCACACCAGCTTACAGGAGCTCTCCACCTCCCCATCCTCCACCCCCAGCTTTTTAAAGAGCAAGGTCCACATTAAGAGCTTCAGCTTAATGATTTCTGTAGAAATTTTACCAAATCACCCTTTGCAGGTCTGAGCTGTGCACGCAATGATAAAGGGGATTTCACATTCTGGAAAAGTCTGCTGCCTTTCATTTGTTCTGGGGACCAGTCTGCGTGGAGCTCACCTTCCAGGTGAGAACTCATCTCATTGGAAAGAACCACTGCTTTGTGACAACTCTCCCCCCCCCCCCTTTTCTCCTACAACAAATGACCTTGGTGGTTTTAGAAGGCAAGTGTTGAGCTTATTTAGTGATACTTGGACTATGGTAAAGGGAATTTACTGTGGTTGAGAGACATCGTTTCTGCACCTACTATGTACACAGCAAATGTATGGTGGAAAAATTTTCAGGAGGACTAAGTCAGTTCTCCATTCTGAACAAATAAATGTTATGAAGGGATTTTGGAAGCTGGCGGGTTAAAGGAGAGGTAGTAACATTGGCAAGAAAGGATTGTTGGTCCAAGTAACATTAATTTAGCACTTAGTGTAGAGAGATACTATGCAGACATTGTTTTGTTTTTCCTTGGGGAAATAGTCTAAAGCAGGTAGCTTGTTCCTTGGATAAACGTTAACCAGGAGAGTAAATCAGAGAGGAAATATTCAGACCAAATGTATTATTCATTTAAATCATGTGTGTGTGGGTAATTTAAAAGATTTTATCTATAATGCTCTGACCATAAATGGGCTTTTTAAATTTAAAATTTTGTTTAGTATATTTGAATATTATTTAAGATTAAAAACAAGCTTTTCATCCAGCAGTTCTACTTCCAACAACTTTATATTAAGAAAATAAATATAGATATATGTATAATTACAGAATATATTCAACAGAAAATTATAAATAATGGAGAAAAACAGTTAATAACCTTAATGTCCAATATTAGGAGACTGGTTCAAAATATGTGTGGTACATGCATGCAATGAAATAATAAAAATATAATATCTATTATTTGTAAGAATGAAATATATATTCACTATATATAGATGCTTATTAACATTCATTTTTTAAACATATTTGATGACCTGGAATATGTTATTTTAAATTTAAAACAAGTTACAAAATTGTATATATGTCATGCCTTATTTTCATAAAAAATAAACTAATGTGTAAAAACAAGTGGATACATATTCTCAAGTTAATATGTATTCATATTAACTGGATAGTAGAATTTTTATTTTCCTTATAAAATACTTTTTTAATATTTTATTTTACCTTCTAAAATTTTACTTTCTATATTCTTAAAATTCTCATGTATATTGCATATTGTATATGTATAAGCACAGTTTATATATTATAATAATAAAAGAAAACTATGTACTATTTTCTGTTCTACATCTTCTACATCTTCTCCTTTTGTTTTAATACTGTCCCTGTGCATGCCTGTGTTGTATCATAGTTCTTTTGTTAATGGATCCCTGCAATTATAATATACTAACAGGTCATAATTCATGTAACCTCATTCCAGTAACAAAGGAAACTGTGTCTTATTTTTTCCTATTTTTTGATGTTGCTTTATAAAACTACTCTTTACAACTCATTTTCCTTGTTTGCGTTGTTGCTTTTGAAACATTTCCAGTCAGGGGAAGACTAGTTCTAAAGCTCCCTATTTATGGACTTTCCCACTGCCAAGGCTGAAAGCTCACATAAGCTATTTTAGAGCTACTTAAGTTTCAGAAACCTTGAGGATGAAGGAAATGTTCTCTCTCTTAGGGTAATGAAGGTTTCATGGGCTTATTAACATGTCAAATCTGTAGACTTGTTCACATTACATGCTTTTAATTATGTCCATCTAAATTATTCAGTATTGAAGCTGTTTTTAAAAGAAACAACAAAAATCATGATGCCAGCAAAGACTGTCCTCTTCCCAAACTCAGAAGTAGCCTTAGAGATAATAAAATGGCTGGAAAGCAACTGAGGGTGTGGGGCAGGACACACGCACATGAAAACGTCGAGAACATTTAGTTGTGCAATTTCAACCTGTTCAGACATCAGGTGCCAAAGAGTATATGAGATCTTTGGAACCAGAAATATTTTCCCATTGAAAGTGACCACCACTGGTTCCATCTGTACAAGTCTTTGTAGTAATCATTCCCACAGGATCTACTTCTTAAATGAAAAAAGAAAAAAAGGAAAGAATGAGAGAGAGAGGGTGGGGGGAAGGAGGAAATAAGGAGAAAGGAGAACATCCTGGCCAGAGTTCTGGATAGCTAGAGAGCTCAGCACTAAAGGGCTGAGTACATCAAACAATCTTTTATCTGCTCTCTTCAGGGAATGATGATAATCATGACACATAAATACTATTCTGTATCAGGCACTTACTAAGAAATTCCCATGGGCTTTTTTACTCACTTGGTGCCAGTGCCTGGATTACTTCATTTAATCCTCATAAATGTAAGTGTTGGTGTTATTCTCAGGACACGATTCACACTGAAAGTACTCACACTGTGGGCTAGGTGAAAGTTACACCCCATTTCTTAAAACAACTACAACAACAATCCAATAGATTGAGCTGAAATATTGTGTGGTTAGATGCCAGTAATGATATTAATAACAGTAATAAAATAATTATTTTGAGTTATTATATGCTAGAAACTTTACTATGCACTTAATATGTATTAACGCATTTAATCATCTCTATAATATTCTTTTTATTTCTAAACCAACAAGCTGTTTAGTTAGGTTTTTGTATGAAATTTCGGACACCAGTTTGTAAGAATAGAGCCAGTTGGTGAGAGCAACCACAAAGGGGAGACAGCCGGAGCTGAGGAACACCTTTGCTTTTTTGTCAGAAGTTGCAAATCCATGGCTTTCTAATCAACCTCCTTCCCCTCTGTCCTCTCATATTTCTGTTTCTCTGTGATGAGGAGCTCACCCTCTTAGTGTCTGGGCTTGCACTGCTCCTTCTTCCTGAAGGAATTACTAGTGAGATGTTTGGGATTTTCACACCACTGGTACCCGTCTTGGTAGAGGTGCTAATGACAAATTTCTGGTGTGTTCTAGGCAGAGGAACTTAATTAAGGCACAGAGTTGCAGACATTAAGGCCCCTGCTCAGCTGCTTCAGGAAAACCATTCTTCTGCCTCCATGGTGCCCAGGGAGGATGATCAGAATGGTCCCAGGAGTGATGTTGGCCCACAGTTTATCTTCTCATGTGCTGACTGAAGGGTTTCTTGTCGTGGCTCAACAGCGTTGGTGGCACATCTTCAGTGGGATAGTGTCTAGGTATTTTGCAAAGTGTAAGCACTTGGGTAGCATCTTTCTTGTCACCTCCAACTGGTTTTGTGACAGTAGAAAGAACTTTCTTCTTTTTTTGTTTCAATCCAGGATTTAGCTACTGAATACTTCCACTTGTACATGGTCTTTCTGAAATACATAGCCAACTAAGAATATCTGCCAATTCCTCTGACCAGGATAGGGTTTCCTCTTCTTACTGTCTTGATCTTGGTGTTACCTTTCTTTTTTAAAATATATTTTTCTTTATTTCAGAAAGGAAGGAAGAGGGAGAGGGAGAGAGAGATAGAAACATCAATGAAAGAGAATAATTGATTGACTGCCTCCTGCATATCCCCTACTGGGAATCAAGCCTGCAACCTGGACATGTTCCCCTGATTGGAATCAAACCAGAACCCTTGAGTCCACAGTCCGATGCCCTATTCACTGATCCAAGTCAGCTAAGGCAGGGCTTAACCTTCTTAACCTTGTCACCAGCATCAGCCTTCTTGGCTCCAGGTTTCTTCTCCTTAGTATCTTGCCTCTCAGCTTCTTCACCCACCATCTTGCTGATGGGAAAGAGGCAATACTTTTCTAGGTAGAGAGTGTTTTCATTAGGATTAATGAGTAAAGCATGGTATAAAGAGGGTAAGTAACTTTTTGAAGATTACAGAGCTTGCTAGTGGTGGCATTGGGCTAATCATTGACTGCAACCTGATTCCCAAGGACTCACTAGCATATTTAAATAATGTTTGTCAAAATAAATGGGTATTAAATGAAAATTTAGGTTTGTGGCAGAAAGTAAAGGGAAACCTTTCAGAAAGAGAACCAGGTACTTCCTGCTAATCTTCTCCTTCCTTGGTGTTACTGAGGACTTCAGTGTGGGTAACACCAATAAAGGGTACTGAAGAATGTTGTGGGCATTAGCATAGTACCTGCTACTCTTGTTTCTCCCTGGTAGTTCCCTCAAAACTTTTATGGTGTGTCTCCTTCAGAATAAAGCTAGAAACCTAGAGTGACTCTACTTTCTCTTCCCCCAAGGGAGTTACTTTAGAAGAGGGCAGACTTATCTTACCTGTTGCCTTCTAAGATTCAGGTAAAGGTGTGTGGATCTAGTTACTATGGGTTCAACATTTTACATCCTGGCTGTTTGTTGGTCCTCCCTCTAGGCTAAAATACCTGCCAAGATGCTCCACTTACAGGGTCCACAGATGCTGCAGATGCTAGAAAAATCCTTGAGGAAGAGCCTGCCTGAGTCTTTAAAGGTGAGACTGGGACAATCTCAGGGAAGCAAGGGTAGCATCTTCTGTGACAGAGTGGGAAAGAGAATGAGCTGTTAATAGGTATCTATTTTTATTTCAGAGAGAAAGGGGCGATAGAAATAAAGATGAGAGTCATTATCAGCTATTACCTGTATGCTCCCTATTGGGGACTGAGCTGGCAGCCAGGGCATGTGCCCTTATCTGGAATCAAACCATGACCTCCTGGTTCATAGGTCAACATTGAGCAATATCACCTGGTCAGAAATTGACTCACACTACATTTCATTTAGTTCACATCACCTCTTTGAAAGGGAGATATATTATGAAACCTCTTTGTACTTTCTTTGCCACTCCATGTGAATAAATCAAAAGTTTAAAAAATAAGGTTTGTTCATCCATGTCATAGAATGTTCTGAAATCATTAAAATTATTTTTATTTATTAGAAATTAAATATGACTAGAATGTATTTATTCAATGGAGAAAAACATTTCAATATCACATCTATGTGATTTTTTTAAGTTTGCAAAATTTGTTGTGCAAGTACATAATAGTAAGCAATCTATTAAAAGATTTGTTTACCTTTATAAAAACTGAGATGCAATTGACATACATTACATTAAATGTGTATTAAATTCTATAATGGGACAGTTCTTGATTTTTATTCATAAATTTATTAGTCTGAATATTTTACAATGTGAATATATTTATAAAAGATACATTTATTGAGGAAAAACACTAAAATGTAAAATTATTTGGGAGAAATACTCATTAGAGACCTTTCTATGATAAAATTCCATGATTTCATAGAAATATACCTGCCCTGATCAAACAAGTTACTTTACCATTCTTTCCTAATACAGGGGTGGGAAAAGTAGGTTTATAGTTGTGAGTATGTGAAACAGAGTTGACATAACTATGGTAATACTCATAGCCTGCATATCTTTTTCTAGATGAACAACCATAAACCTACTTTTACCAACCCCTGTATATTGACCCTCCCACTTTCTTATAATGCTGCAGGTTTATGGGACCATCTTCCACATGAACCAGGGAAACCCTTTCAAGCTGAAGGCTCTGGTGGACAAGTGGCCTGATTTTAATACAGTAGTTGTCCGCCCTCAGGAGCAGGTAAGGTGTCAGATATGGAATGAATGTGCATCTATGTATGTATTTGCTAGGTGTTTATCTGAATTGGCAATGTGGGAGACCTGGCCAAAGAGACATGAATCCCAGGAATAGTGAACCATCCCTGTCCTCAAAATTTCCAAACCTGGAAGAGAATACAGGTGAATCCAGAGATAAATTACAGCATGGTCTAAAATGTGCAGCAATGGGAGAATTTAATGAGATAACTGTTATCTAACCACTGTGCTATACACCTAAAACTAATATAAAATAATATTGAATATCAACTGTAATTGAAAAGTAAAGTTAATAAAAAAAAGAAGTAACATGCGTGGAAAGCTGATTAAAACTATATATGGTATATTTTCTTTTTTAAATATATTTTTATTGATTTCAGAGAATAAGGGAGAGGGAGAGATAGAAAAATCAAAGATAAGAGAGAATCATTGATTGACTGCCTCCTGCATGCCCCTCACTGGGATCAATCACACAACCTAGGCATGTGCCCTGATTAGGAGTGGAACCATGACCGCCTGGTTCATAGCTCAATGCTCAACTACTGAGCCACAACAGTCAGGCTATATGGTACTTTTTCATACTCGTTCATTGTTTTAATTTGTTTTCAAGAAAGGGCCCCAAATAGCATTCTGGTGATGCTGACAACCAAGCACCCTTCATTATTTCTTGCATCTAATTCATGGGAAGAGAGACACCCAATGAAAGGTTGTGCTAATGTAAGATTATGTTGAGGACATAGACAAAAGGCTGAGTTTTGGTTCAAGATATTACAGCAACATTAATCAGACTTGACATCTTTATTGTTATGAATCAAACACTTTTCACTCTTTTTTATTTTTTTTAAGGGGGAAGTGATTTAAAAAAAATTTTTTTTAAATATATTTTATTGATTTTGTACAGAGAGGAAGGGAGAGAGATAGAGAGTTAGAAACATCAATGAGAGAGAGTCATCGATCAGCTGCCTCTTGCACACCCCCTACTGGGGATATGCCGGCAACCAAGGTACATGCCCTTGGCCGGCATCGAACGCGGGACCCTTCAGTCCCCAAGCCAACGCTCTATCCATTGAGCCAAACCAGTTTCGACACTTTTAACTCTTAATCTATGGGGGGAAATTATTTCCTATCTTTTAAAAATACCAACCTTGAAAGAACCAAGATGGCGGCATATGTAAACATCTATACTTGCTGCTTCTCACAAGCACATCTAAATTACAACTACAAAGCAGAACAACTACCACCGAGAACCATGGGAAAAGCTGGTTGAGTGGAAATTCCACAACTAGAGAAGTGAAGAAAGCACATTGGAACTGGTAAGGGGTGCAGAGGTATAGGAAGTGCTGGCACCTGCTCTTTTTATCAGGAGGGAGATATAAGCTGCTGCTTGCTCTGAACTCAAGTTCTGGGCAAGACTCTGGGAGACCCAGACACATATGGGGAGAAATTGGATTATCTAGCATCAGGACAGGAATATGAGGGCAGCTTTTTCTCAGAGGTGCAAGACGCAGAAACAAAGGGACCTCTCCAGTGCAGGGCTGACTGACAGCCATTGCTGTTTGCTCCACCCTGGTGATTCCCTGAGACCCCACTCCACCCAATTTACAATGTTGAATTCCAAGTTGATCATTTTTGTTTGAAATTTTAAAGTAATAGTTTATTTAGGAATAGTTTATTCAGGATATTTCTTTATTGTTAGTTGAATAAAGAAGTCCTTGAGTTGACCTAATAATATATATCATTCTTCAATAAAGGCAATACACCAACAGGAAAACCTAATATTTTAGTACTTTAAAATATCATCATATAATTGAACACTGACAATGTATGGCAGTCACAAACTACAATTATTTTGGTTGATTCTACTTTTCCCAACCCAAACAGGAGATGGTAGATGACCTTGATCACTACACCAATACTTACCAAATCTACTCCAAAGACCCCAAGAATTGTCATAAATTCCTTGGCTCACCAGAAGTCATCAACTGGAAACAACATTTGCAGATTCAAAGTAAGGGTACTGGAATATGTGCCAGGTGCTGGGATTTTCCATGTCCATACTTGTAGAGTCACTTTTCATTTCCAATAACACCCCTACATCCCATATATCTTTACTTCAAGCCCCAGACCACTTGGTCTGCTATCCTCTCTCTCTCTCTCTCTCTCTCTCTCTCTCTCTCTCTCTCTCTCTCTCTCTCTCTCTCTCTCTCTCTCTCTCTCTCTCTCTCCCTTCCTCAATCCCTCTCTCCTGCCACCACCTTCACAGTGAATTAGAACTTGAAAATGGCAATGCATGGGGTTTGCAAAGAAATAATAATAAGCAATATAATTCCTTACTAACTAAGGACTTATGATTTATTTTCCAGGATCTATTAAAGAAGATGAGTATAGGAACAGAACTTCCCCTCTGTCTCATTTGTTTTATCATTCTATTATATTTATAAAGTAGAAATCTAGTGGTTTCTGAACTCATACTACCTAAGATTGAGATGCTGTTAAGCCTATTATTAGTTATGTAATCTAGGGTAAGTAACAATTTGTCTGTGGATCAGTTTCCTCCTGGCTAAAAATGAGGATTATAGTAGTATTTAAAACATAGAGCCTTTGAACAATTAAATGAGATCTTGAATGAGAAGTGCTTGGCACCCTCTATGTCTAGTTTTATCATTTGGTTTTCAAACCATCACGACACAGTGGCTTATAATAGGAATAATTTATTAGCTCACAATTTGGTGGGGTAGCAATTTATATTTTAAAATATATTTTTGTTGATTTCAGAGAGGCAGAGACATCAATGATGAGAGAGAATCATTGATTGTCTGACTCTTGCACACCTCCACTAGGGATGGAGCCCGCAACCTGAGCTTGTACCCTGACAGAGAATAGAACTGTGACCTCCTTGTTCATAGGTTCAACCACTGAACCACGCCAGTGAGCAATTTAGATGGGACTCATCTGGGTGATTCTTCAGCTATTTCCCCCCCCCACCCCAGATTTATCCATGTGGCTGCTATCCATAGGAGGTTGTCTATGAGCTGGTGGGACTAGTTAGCCACAGACCCAGGGCTGGTTGTTGTTGGCTTTTCTTGTGCTGGCAGAAATGGATTGGGCAATGTATAGAAGTCACAGGGTTTTCAAAAGCAGAGAGAGAAGGCAAGAATAAGAAAATAAAATAAAAAAAAGAGGGCGAGACTCAGTGTACCTTCCCTTTCCAAGCTTCTTGTTAAATTACATTTACTATAATTGCACTGGCTAAAACAAGTTTCATGGTTAAGCCCAGAGTCAGATCAGGAGGAAAAATCAGGGTAGTGAGGAAAATGCAACCCTCTCAAGACCATTGCAGCAACAACCTACTGCATGTAGCACATAGGCTTGTTTGATACATTTTGGTTATCATGTACCTCATCACCTTTGATAGTCGTGATTGTACTGTGTTGTCCCAATTTTTAATTTAAAAAATGTGGGAGTGATTTAGCCTCAATCTTATAGAGGCCATGTCAGGATTGAATATGGGTTTCAAGGACTCTAAACCACAAACTTTACAGTCCCTAGGCAACATAGAAAGAAAGAGTGATACCTCATCCTATTCTATTTTCTTCATCTAGGTTCACAGTCCAACTTTAATGAGGTGATAGAAAATCTTGTAGCTGTAAAACTCAGTCAGGTCAAGCGAACACAATGCTTCCTCTATATGAACCTTCTGACAGCAAAGAAATTGGCTCCTTCCCTGCTGGATGCAAAGAAGTTACTGCCAAGTGAGAGCACACATGATTCCATGTAAGTCTGACAGCAGCCACTCTGCACTGCTCATATCTCTCAGGAGCCCTTGCATTCATTCTCCAATTTTTGTGAAAAATGGCCTCAAACTGAGGTGGCTTGGAACCACAGTAATTTATTCTCTGAAGTCAAGGTGTCGGCAAGCCTTTGTTCTCTTCAAAGCCTCTAGAAGAGAGAGTTCTTCCTTGCCTCTTCCAGCTTCTGGTGGCTCTAAGCATTCTTTGGCTTGTGGCTACATCACTCAAGTCTCTGATGTTGTGCTTATATGGCTCCCTCTTCTGTGTGTGTGTCTTTTATTCTGTCTGGTATAAGGATTGTCTTTGGATTTAAGGTCCAGGATGATTTCATCTTGAGAGCTTTGATCTGTTACATCTGTAAATACCCTTTTTGAAATAAGGTCATGTTTTCAGGTTCCAGGTGGGAATATATTTGAGTGAACACATCATTCAGCATACTTTACCTCCCAATTTCTCTTCCAGTTTTTGCTTACACTCCTTATAACCCATTTTCTGCAAACTAATCTTTTAAAAAACAAAAAGTAGAACATGTCCCTCTCCTCTTAAAAGATTTAGTATTCCTGTCTCCGCTGGAAATAATTCTGAACTCCTTCATGGCCCTATGAGAGCCAGCATTCATTTACCTTTTAGACCTCATCTCCCTTGCTTACTTGCCCAGCAACATTGTCTTTCTCCCACTGTTGATCATTGAAAAATCAGACCCTTTCGATCAGCTCTTCTTTCTGCCTAAATGTTAGGCCCTAAAGGGTCTTTCCCCCCATTCTACCCATTCTTTACTGTCATGACTTCTTTTGTTATTCAGGACTTCTCAAATGGCATAGAGTCCTGACTACACCATCCATCTGAAGTCACTTCCCAGTTATTTTCCACACATGACTCAGTTTTATGTTTTTCATGGCATTGATGATTATTTGTAACTAGAGGCCCAGAGCATGAAATTTGGGCATGGGTGTGTGTGTCCCTTAGCCCAGCCTGTACCCTCTCCAATCTGGGATCCCTCTCACAATTCAGGACTGCTGGCTCCCAACTGCTCACCTGCCTGCCTTTCTGATTGCCTCTAACCGCTTCTGCCTACCAGCCTGATCACCCCCTAACCACTCTGCTGCCAGCCTAATTGATACCTAACTGCTCCCCTGCCAGCCTGTTTTCCTTAACTGCCCTCCCCTGCTGGTCTGGTCACCCCTAACTGCCTTCCCCTGCAGGCCTGGTCACCCCCAACTGCTCTCGCCTACAGGCCTGGGTCCCCCCAACTGCCCTTCTCTGCAGGCTCAGTCCCCCCCAACTTCCCTCCCCTGCTGGCTTGATCACCCCCAACTGCCCTCCCTTGTAGACCTGGTGCCTCCCAACTGCCCTCTCCTGCTGGCCATCTTGTGGTGGCCATCTTGTGTCCACATGGGGGCAGGATCTTTGACCACATGGGGGCAGCCATCTTGTGTGTTAGAGTGATAGTCAATTTGCATATTATCCTTTTATTAGAAAGAATTAGATAGGATAGTGGCCTGGTGCATGGGTGGGAGCTGGCTTGTTTGCCCTGAAGGATGTCCTGGATCAGGTTGGGGGTTCCCTTGAGGTGTGGGGTGACCTGGGCGAGGGGCCTGTGGTGGTTTGCAGGCTGGCCACACCCCCTGGTGACTCAAGTGAAAGCCCTGGAATCTGGGATTTATTTATCTTCTATAATTGAAACTTTGCAGCCTTGAGCAAAGTCAAGACTCCTGCTAGCTCCGTGGTCACAGCCATTTTTGTTAGGATTAACTTATCTTCTATCTTTGAAACTTTGTAGCCTTGAGCAGAGGCCTAGGCCTGCCAGGGCAAGTGGAAAGCTTGGCTTCCTCCATTGCTGGGGAAACCCAAGCCTCCTGCTCTCTCCGTAGCTATAGACATCTTGGTTGGGTTAATTTGCATATTTGCTCCTGACTGGCTGATGCACATGGCTTGCTAGTGTAGTAGTGGTATGGTCAATTTGCATATTGCTCTTTTATTAGATAGGATTAGCTAACTTAGTTAACTTAAATACTTATTTGATGTTTAAACTCTGAACCAACAATATTTTAACTGCAGACACCTTCTCTGTCTTGTTTAATGATAGTCTTAATAGCTATCACAGTGGCTGGTTTGTAGTAAGCGCTTAACAAATATGTGTTTATCGAATTTGTTTCACAGAACAAAAGATTTCCAATAAAGAGAATTTCAACCAATTATGTATTTTGTCCCATTAGTGCTTTACCAAACACTGAAGAGAATTCAAAAGTGATGGCAGAGATTTGACCTAGAGACAGACACTCAAACCCTTGGTCCTCTCTGTGTTAATATGCTTGGAAAAGCTTTATTCACATGGCATCAAAAATTCCACCTGAAAGATACCCCCAAATCTATCAACTCATTTGATTTTCTTGTCCATTCCATGAGATAGACAAGGTAGGAGATATTATCTGTCTCCTGTCAGAAACCAGGCTCAGATGAAAAAAAAAACTTACATGTTCAGGTCACATGGAAGGTCAAGGCATAACTGGGCCTTGAGTCTCCATCTTCTAGTTTTTTTGTGGGTTCCTTCCAAGACACTTGCTGAAGCCCTTTATACCATAGCAGAAGCCTTCAGACTTCAGTGTTCTGTACCTCAGGGGCTGCCTGCACTCCACATCACTGCCCCTCTCTGGACTTGAGCTTCCTCACAGTGGCCAAGGGCCCTTTGCCACCAACATCCTAAGAGTCCATGATTCTCAGCTCTTGTTTTACCTACAGCTCATTAACATGTGCATCAGGGAACTTGTTTAATTTCTTGGAAATATTTGACTTCTAGGCAAAATGAGAATAAGAACACTTACCCTATATAGCTTGGAGGGTGATGGCCAGGGCCAAATAAAACAATTGCAGCTAATTTCGGTGAGGTGCTTACTATCTGCCAGGTACTGGTTCTGAGCTTTGATATCCATGGGCTCATGTAAGCCTTATAATGATTCTGGGAGGGTGGTGTCGTTATCATCCCTAGTTATTAGATGACAAAATAAAGGAAATGAGGGATTAAGTAATCAGCCCCAAATCACACAAGTAGTCAGTTGATAAACCTAGGCACAGCACAAACCCTTAAATGTATGCCTAATTGCCTCATGACACTGTCTGTGTGGAAACAAATGCAATATTTCACAATGTGTATGATATTTGAGCTGTTCTTTTTCCTTGCTCCCAATAGCAACCAAGAGATGTTTAAATTCTCATCCCTGGATGTCACACATGCTGCCCTGGTGAATAAATTCTGGCATTTTGGCGGCAATGAGAGGAGCCAGAGATTCATTGAGCACTGTATCCAGACCTTTCCCTCCTTCTGTCTGCTGGGACCCGAGGGGACCCCTGTGTCCTGGACCATGATGGATCAGACAGGAGAGCTGCGGATGGCAGGCACTGTGCCTGAGTACCGAGGACACCATCTCATTTATCATGTCATCTGTGCCCAGATCCAGGCTCTGGGGAAACTTGGCTTCCCCTTGTATTCCCATGTGGATAAAGCCAACCACATCATGCAAAGAATGTGCTTCAAAATCCAGAGTTTCCGTATGCCCTGTGACTGGAACCAGTGGCAATGTGTGCCTCTGTGACAAGACAGTGTTAGGTGAGCTGGTCTTGTAGCAGGAGGAACCTGTGATGAATGGACAGAAATAATACATTGTCATAATGAAGTGGTCTCTAAGGACAGCCTCAACCTTTATATTCTACCTTCCTAGGCTCCCCTTAGCTTTCTTTTAGGAAGTTACCCAGCCAGCATAGCTTCCACATTTCCAGGATCTTCCTCACACTTAATATCAGTTGCACACATTTTGTTATGTTATCCTTCCTGGAACTCTTGCTCATTGATTGACCCTTGCCAATTTGCCAGGAGGTGATACTATCTGGTGGGTTCTATATTTTTTTCCCTCTGGCTTGCTTTCTTTCTTTCTTTCTTTCTTTCTTTCTTTCTTTCTTTCTTTCTTTCTTTCTTTCTTTTTTTAATGTTGGCAGGAGAGTGGTCTGTCTTCTCAGCAGGTCATCTTCCCCAAGTCACATCTCAAGTCATATTATAATCACGTGAAACATGACACACATACACACACTACCATAAAACTTGAGGGTGTTATGCAAATGAGTAAGTCAGATGGAGAAAGACAAATGCTATATAATCTCATTCATATGTGGAACAAAACTTGTAGACACAAACTGCAAATTGGTGTTTATCTGTTGGAAACGGGGGGCAAAACAGTAAATGGGGTCAATTGTACGGTGACAGAGGAAAATAAATCTTTCACAGTGAGCATGCTGTAGTGTATACAAATGTTGAATTTTAATGTTGTACACCTGACACTCATACAATGTTACTTCAATTGAGAGAGAGAGAGAGAGAGAGAGAGAGAGAGAGAGAGAGAGAGAGAGAGAGAGAGAGAGAATATGAGTGCCTGGTGAGAATACCGTATGTTGGAATTTACACATACCATGAATAGGCCCTGTGCTGATTAACATACAATGGTGAACAAAACAGATGATTCTTAACTGTTTGGATCTAATAAACCAATCACCTAAGGAAAGAAATGGAGATCACAAGTACAATTACAACAATATAGTCTTAGAAATTTGCAGTGCTATAAAGAAAAAAGTGAAAGTAGCTACAAATTTGAATTGACTTCAGGAGGTGGCAGAAGGCTCCTGTTAGAAAAAGAGGGGAATCATATTCTAAGCAATGTGTCAGAAAGAAGATGGGATTTTAAGAGTCTTAGTTTTACTATGAAGTAGCCATGACTCAGGTAAATTACTTAAACACCTAGACCACTGTCCTGCCTTCTTACAGATGTGTTCACTAGCAAATGATTTGCTTTCTGTCAGGGTGTGCTAGGACCTGTAAGCATTCATAATCTTATTCTTTGAAGTAAATGCTAATCAAAAACTCCTGACCCCTTCCTGCAACTTTATGGTAACTAGGGGATCTCAACAGGTCTGAAAATGACATTATCCTGGTAGGTCAAATTGAGTCACGTCTCCTCTTCAATTTCTCACCCTTCCCACCTACTCCCATCTCTTTATCCATTCTCTTTTAACTGCCATATCTTTATTTTTTTATTTTTTATCTTTATTGTTGAAAGTATTACATATGTCCTCCTTTTCCCCCCATTAACCCGCTCCAGTTGCCCCTGCCCCTCGTCCAATTATTTACCACCTAATTGTCCTTTTTTCGTGTCCATGGGTTATACATATACCAGTATACATACAAGGTCTTTGGTTGATTACCTCCACCCACCTACCCTCCCTGCCTTCCCTCTGAGATTCTGCATTTTGTTGCATGCTCCCATGTCTCTGGATTCTCTCTGTTCATCAGTTTATTTTTGTTAATTAGATTCCACATATGAGGGAGTTCATGTAATACTTCTCTTTCTCTGACTGACTTATTTCACTTATCATGATACTCTCCACGTCCCTCCATGATTAACTGACATATCTTTAAAAGAACACATTATTCAAAGCCAACCTCCAAAGCTTCTCCTATCGTAGAGCCTTTTTTAAAATGTCCAATTTGAAAATGATTTCTCTCTCCTAAGAACTCCTCCAGCATTTTACCCACACCTTTCTGAGGGACTTAATACCATCTAGTCTCCTTTCCTTAAAATAGTTTTTGCAAAGCTGCTGGCATTGGAAGGTAATTGGCCTTAAAGGAAGGGTTGTCTTGCTCTTGGATGTCTGAGAGCCGATACTGTGAAGTAAGGAGCCCTGGTGACCTGGAACTGGGGTGAAGCAGTTGAGAAGGACACTGATGAGGCCATTTCCTTTCTTAATGGTATAATTAAATAAATTCATTAATTTTTATTCATTCTGTATTATAATCTGCTAAAGGGGAGATCAAAGAGTCTTCTAAAAAGAAAAAGACCCAGAAAAGAAGGACTAGGGATGAGATAGAGTGCAAAGAAGTGATTTAAAAAATTCCTCCAGAGGCCATGTCCTTTTCCAGGGATGGCAGATGTGACTTGAGGTGCCATCAGTGGGAGTGGCAAAGTAAAGGCCTATAAAAATCCTTTCCTTCATAAAAGCAAGAACACAGGGAAATTGTCAAAAGAAACTTAAAAAAATCTTTATTGTTGAGAGTATTACAGATGGCCCCTCTTTTTCTCCCATTGCCCCCCTCCACACAGTTCCCAACTCACCCCAGGCCTTTAGGACCCTAACTGCCTGTGTCCATAGGTAAGATCTGTGGTTAATCTCTTTCCCTTCTACCTCCCCACTTCCCTCTGAGATTCATCAGTCTATCTTCAGAACTCTAAAAATTAACCAAAGGCATGCAACAACCCAAGGAGAACTTATTTAATAAAGAGTAATATTCAGCCAAGGCCGGTTTGGCTCAATGGATAGAGCGTCGGCTTGGGGACTGAAGGGTCCCAGGGGACTGAAGGGTCCCAGGTTTGATTCTGGTCAAGGGCATGTACCTTGGTTTTGGGCACATCCCCAGTAGGGGGTGTGCAAGAGGCAGCTGATCGATGACTCTCTCTCATCGATGTTTCTGACTATCTCTCTCCCTTCCTCTCTGTACAAAATCAATAAAATATATATTTAAAAAAAGAGTAATATTCAAATTAACCATCACTCACTCTGCTACACCCATAAGCCATGCCCACAAGCTATGCTCACAAGCCAATCAGAAACAAATATGCAAATAAGCCCAACTAAGATGGCTATGGCCACAGAGAGCAGGAGGGAGGCTTAGGTTTCCCCAGCAATAGAGGAAGCCAAGCTTTCCACCTGCCCTTGCCAGCCTAGGCCTCCACTCAAGGCTACAAAGTTTCAATGATAGAAGATACATAAATCCAAACAGAAATGGCTGCAGCCATGGAGCTGGAAAGAGGAAGAGGCTAGGGTTTCCCCTGGCAATGGAGGAAGCCAAGCTTTCCGCACATCCTGGCCGGCCCAGGCCTCCATTTAATGCTACAAAGTTCCAATTATAGAAGATACATAAATCCCAACAAAATGGCTGCTGCCATGGAACAAGCAAAAGTTGTAGAAAATAAATAAATCCCAGATACCAGGGCCTCCACTTGGGTTGCCAGGGGCTGTGGTTGGCCTACAAACCACCACAGGACCCTCGCCCAGGCTGCCCCATGCCCCAAGAGAATCCCCACCCTGATCCAGGACACCCTTCAGGGCAAACCAGCCAGCCCCACCAATGCACCAGGCCTCTATCCTATGTAATAGAAGAGTAATATGCATATTGACCATCACTCCAACACACAAGATGGCTGCCCCCATGTAGTCAAAGATGACTGCTTCCATGTGGACACAAGATGGCCACCACAAGATGGCCAGCAGGGGAGGGCAGTTGGGAGGGACCAGGCCTGCAAGGGATGGCAGATGGGGGCATTCAAGCCTACAGGGGAGGGCAGTTAGGGGTGACCGGGCCAGTAGAGGAGAGCAGTTAGGGGCAAACAGGCTGGCAGTAGAGTGGTTAGGGGGTGATCAGGCTGGCAAGCAGAAGCGGTTAGGGGCAATCAGGAAGGCAGGCAGGCAAGCATTTGGGAGACAGCAGTCCTGGATTGTGAGAGGGATGTCTGCCTACCCGTTTAAGCCTGATCCTACTTGAAAATATCACACACACACACACACACACACACACACACACACACACACACACCATTTAACTTGAGGGTGTTATGATTAAGCCCGATCCAAGTAGGACATTCTAAATGGGCAGTCGGACATCCCTTGAGGGGTCCCAGATTGGAGAGGGTGAGGTTGGGGTGAGGGACACACACCTGCAACCCCTTCCCCCCACCCCCACCCCATGCATGAATTTCATGCATCAGGCCTCTAGTTTATTCAAGAAAATGGTTGAATCCTAGTAAGAACAGTGAGCTTTATGGTGCTGTAACTTGCCCTCAGCATTCTTTCCCCCAGCTTTTCAGGGGCCATGTAAACCAACAGCCCTGTAATCCTGGTGAAAACCAGGAGCATAAGAGCCACTGGAGAGGGGAGAACCCCCAAAACCAGCATTCTCAGAGGGTTCTTCTTTATTTGATCTCCAGCAGTTCCCTACAAACCCCTACTCTCAGGGCTTTTCTTTATAGGATCCGAGTCTTATAAACATATCTAGGAATCTAGAAGACTGCATGTATATAGGAATATGCACATACTTGGGGCTGTGTGCATGCCCAAAAAATGACAGCGAAGGACTAAGCTCTCACCTCTGCTTGGCCTTGAGGCTCTCCACACACAGAAAGTGAAGGTTGCCGGGACCGGTTTGGCTCAATGGATAGAGCGTCGGCTTGGGGACTGAAAGGTCCCGGGTTCGATTCCGGTCAAGGGCATGTACCTTGGTTGCGGGCATATCCCCAGTAGGGGGTGTGCAAGAGGCAGCTAATCGATGACTCTCTATCATCGATGTTTCTAGCTCTCTATCTTTCTCCCTTCCTCTCTGTACAAAATCAATAAAATATATTTAAAAAAAGAAAAGAAAAGAAAGAAAGTGAAGGTTAAGGCGGAATTGGACTGCCTTTCTATACATTGAGAGCTTCCCTCTGGCCACCCAGGACCAGGGCTCTTCTCACAGCTCCGACTTCTTCGTCTGGAAGGATATACAGTCTAATTAGCATATTATGTTTTTATTATTAAAGATGTGTCTTTTTTGCTGAAACAGGTTTGGCTCAATGGATAGAGCGTCGGACTGCGGACTGAAAGGTCCCGGGTTCGATTCCGGTCAAGGGCATGTACCTTGGTTGTGGGCACATCCCCAGTAGGGGGTGTGCAAGAGGCAGCTGATCGATGATTCTCTCTCATCGATGTTTCTAGCTCTCTATCCCTCTCTCTTCCTCTGTAAAAAATCAATAAAATATGTTAAAAAAAAAAAAAAAAAAAAAAAAAAAAAAAAAGATGTGTCTTTTTAACCACAGAGGGGAGG